ATACTGTCACATAGCTTACTCTAATTTTCTTGAAAATCATGACATTAAATACAAAATATAAAGTCAATCGTTTATGAGAGAAACAAACGTTTATTTATTTGTTTTTGTGAGCATACGGGCGCATCCATGATAACGATTTAATTCTCGCGAGACCGAAAAGGTGATGTCATACACCCACTTCCGGTTAAATCGCGCACTATGAAAAATAACAGCAACAAATCGACTCTGCTGGATTTTTTTCCCCATTTATTTCACTGTGAAATAATCATTGACGAAAAATTTTGTTAACTGATAGCTTGGAAACTGTGTGTATCTATTGTGTAGCTATAATTTAAGTCAAGATATGTGACAGGATCACAAAATACAGGTATGCCGCTGGGCCAGGCATAATTTTGTAAACAAATCGACTTTGGCTTTCTCTGCTGGACTTTTTGCCTTTTATTTTATTGTGATCTAATCATTGCGAAATACTTGGAAAGTGTGTATCTATTGTGCAGCTATAATTAAGCCAAGATATCTGACAGGATCATCTGTGTTTTTAAAGTTAAAAATGCTGCAGTGCCAGGCTTTTAATTGTGTAAACAAAAGTGGATGTGGAAAAAGTTTTTTCCCTATTCCGGATCCTCTTAAATCATACGATCATAGGAAATTGTGCAAGAAATGGATTAAAAATCTTCACAACAAGAAATTAAATCTACAAACATTTAAAGCTCATCGTCAAAAGGTTGTGTGTAGGGACCACTTTACGGATGATTGTTTTGAGGGCGCATATACAAGTATGGTGGCACAATCTCTGAATTTTAAAAGTAAGAGAAAGGGACTCGTATTCGGTTCCGTTCCGACCATTGTTAATGTGAACAATCACTCATCCTTAAAGAAGACCACTAAGAATCGACCTTCAATAGAGAACATTCGTTTGAAACTATTAAAAGCACAGGTAAATTATTTATTAGCAAATTATATGAATTCATATTTAGTTCTTACACTGATTAGTCTGAATGGACATTTTCATATTAATATATTATATAAAGCAACCAGAATTTTCAACATAGGAAGAAAAGAAAAAGACGTGCACAATTCCATACTGCCATCTATCCATATATCAAGTTTTATAATAATATTTTTTGTACTTTTTGCGTTATCGCGGGATCCTGTTTTGTGGACGGACAGACTGACTGACGGACGGACGGACAGACGGACGGAGGGTAAACCTAAAGTCCCCTCCGGTAAACCGGTAGGGGACTAATTAAATACTTCTTTTCTTTGTCATCAAAGGGTTTATTTTCACTTTTAGATCAATCCGATTGAACTTCCACACATCCAAGTCAAATTGAAATGGTCAACCAAAGTCAAAACCTGAATGACAGCAAGACATCATCTCAACTGCTCAACTTAAGTGAATATATCAAACAAAACCTGTTGGCACGGGAGAGTCATCTGGTATGGACAAAGCTCATACAAGAATGTGCATATTATTACATAGCTCATTTACCTTGGATAGGCCGTGACAACTGTTCTGGTGACTACAGAGAAATTGAACAGAATATGTATGATGCCTATCCAGCCATTGCACGTGATGGAACTCAACCATGGGTTATCATATTCTCATTATGCGTTGTTGCTTCTTTCTTTTTTTCGCATTCAAATCTGTTTTAATCTTATGACTTTGTGAAGATACCTTTCGTTGTGTAAGTTGTACAGTTTTGTCTAATGGGAGCTGTGTTAGGCCACATGTGTCACAAATCACATTCGTCACAAGTTTTTATGAATTTGTGACGAATGTGATCACATTCGTCACAAATGACTTTTGTGACGAATGTGATTGACCAAAATCGGGTAAAAAAAATGCCAATCACAAACGTCACAAGCAAAAATTGAGAATTTTTAAACAGGCGAATCACAAATGTCACAAGTTTTTTATTTTTCATAATGTGATACACGGAATATCATAAGGACAATCGTGGTTATATCAGTGCGATAGTACAAGGGCGACAATGCAAATAAATCGATATTGTGATGTCGACATCACGATACCAATATCTTTTCACCACATTGCATTATCGCCATCGTACTAACTTGTTGCAATATCGTATCGTCGGCATTGTATTGTCTTCATAGAACTGTTCGCATTGTCGTAATGGTATTTGCTATCAAGTCGTCTTACGTTCTCGAAACCTTCAAAAAAATTTTGGTGACAATGCACGGCAATAGTATCAGACTTTCAACTGGAAGTGATCTTTTACCTCTGTGAACCCTCAAATTTCTTCCCACCATACAGCGACAGTCTAAAGGAATCTCACAGACTTAATCTTAGTTTCAGTACAAAATTATGACCATATTTTACACCAATGAGACCATATATGATTGTTTGAAGTAGCTGAGACCCCCCGTTGACTTTCAGGATATCTAATTAGAGATTAGGACCTTTTTGACATCAATGAACCTTTTTTGGTCTGACAGACTTTTGACTTCCGCAGACTTTCAGGAATCTTGGTTCAATTAAAGAGTATGACATTTTGACATCTAGGAACCTTCTTTCCTGAGACGATTTTGCAAGTCTGTGCCAATTGCTTGCAGACGCTCTATGGAACTTTCCATATCTATTTCCACTAGTAATAATAATATAGTTAATTCGTTTAAACAGATCGTGTCTTTGTGGCGGGCCGCTTTATCGTTTCGACGCGTCTTAGCTTTTTTCGCCTTTTATGATTAGATAGTTTCAAACGACGGTGTTTAGTGAATTTTATAGAGGATATTTGTTTGTTTTGAGTGAATATGAAATATATTTCACTGAGAAGTGAGAAAAAAAAATGAAATATGTATCACGAGCGCGTAGCGCGAGTGAAAATATGACATTTTCTCACTTCGAGATGTGAGATATAGTTCATATTCACGAAAAGCAAACACATTTTCTTTTTATTTTATGTGCCTTTTGAAAAGTGCTTTTAGACCGTTTACTACTGAAGCGCGGAGACTACGCGCGCGTAAACAATATGACGGCAAACGTTAACGCTGCAAGCAAAATAATCCTTATTTATTTATATTCTTTTTGCGGTCTCATTGTCAACAATCTTACAAAATTACGGACATTTGAATCGAGAAATATGTCATTTAGAATGAAATTAAACAGTTATTTTTAATGCATGTTTAGGGAATCCAGACTTATAAATACGTACGCAGAGTGGGCGTGGCTTATATCACCCAAATCTATATCACCACACTGTGACTGATATAATATGAATATATTTCATTGATAGAACAGTATTTCATTAGTTAGCATCAAATAAATATAGGATATTACATGAGTGTCTTTTCATATTGAATTTATTAAACGAGTTTGATAAAATAATAAATTGCGAGGCTCTGCCGAGCATTTTATTATTTTATTCAACGACTTTAAATAAATTCAATGTTAAAAGACACGAATGTAATATTCTTTTTATCACAGGTAAACTTTTGCCGCCGAAAAAGCGAAAACTTGTCGTTATTTCCCTTATAAGCGCGGTAAAATTAAGCAACGTCCGCTAACGTAGAGATAGATATTTTATTTCCTTCAGTATACATGAAGAGCACGTCAAAAACGATATTTACACTAGTGTCAATATGGAAAATATGTAATGGCTTTATTCCACTCCCGCGACTTCAAACGTGATAAATAATTATTTTGTAGTTAAATGCTGAAAAGTGTTGTGTAATACAGAATGTTGTTGCGCGACTGTATAGTACAGAACGTTATTAAACATATCAAGTAGGATAGCATGTAAGTTGTAATGTAATGTAATATTATCGTGTAGCAATTCAAAATATTGAAAAGGACGCATAATCAAACATTACGAATTGTGTTATATGTCCACACGGTTTCAATAAAACACTTTGTTGCTGATTTACGCCGTGTCTTTTTTGTTTCGTTTCTTCGCCGCGAAGATTAGAAAAAAACGAAAACCGAAGACACGACAAATCCACAGTTTGTCGTATCTTCGCTTCTTTTTTTTCTATTTCTTGCAGCGAAGAAATGAAATACGTCAGAATAAATGCGACAATACAGAGATAAAAAATGTGCCGTGTTTCCGCCCTAAATCTGTCGTATCTTTGATGTTTCGTTGTCCTTGCCAGGCAGATCAGGAAAAGACGAAGGACGACAAAATCACAGTTTGTCTTATCTTCGCATTTTCGTTTTTTTCTAATCTTTGCAGCGAAGAAACGAACACACGATAGAATAAATGCAACAATGCGGCAGATAAAATGTGTCGTGTTTTAGCCTTTAAGCTGTCGTATATTCGGTTTTTTTTTCGCTTCTACGTATTCGATTTTACGTTTCTTTGTTGTTTTTTAATTCAGTTCTTCGTGTCCCGGTTTTACAAGCGCATACGCACATCAACTACAAAATAATGAAAAGATACTTTATATTGTGATCGCTATATTCCTTCATTGTAGTAAATGCATATGTGTAGTTGATGTGCGCATGCCCTGTAAAACCGGAACGCTAAAAAACGGGACTCTAAAGCCCTTAGCGGTCCGTCGGCACTTCAAAAGAGATCAAAAACCATCAAAAGCGATCCGCCGCGAGCCGTCATGTCATTTAATCATGACACGCCCCAAAAACACAAAGTCTGCAATGTAGTGGACCAATCAGCGATTGAGTTATGTTAAATTCAGGTTCACTGCGTAACTATGCCGGCAAACATTAAAGAAGATTCCAAAAGTCTCTTTCGGCATTTTTGATGTCACATGTCCTCTTCCTCAAGTTTCATTTGGAAGCAGGCCTTGCCATTCAACAGTCACGCTGAAGGAGTTCCAAAGGTAACTGTTAAATTATTTAATTTTTAGAGTAAAATAGCACCCTTTCCGTATAACTGATGTCTCTAATATTTCATTTTAGATCTCCTTTACGAATAGAAGAGCTTTATATATATATGTCCATTCGGCGTCGGTGTAAAGAGGAGCGCAGTGTTTATTTTTTGCTTGTTTACTTGACCACTGAACATATTCAAATTGAAACTTCACACATGTGTATGGAATGAAAATGAAGACCAATAACTCCGTTATGCATTTTGATTGAATCATGCCCCTTTTGGGACTTGACAGATTATACTATCAAGCACTGAGAAAAGTTGACAGTTGTTTTTATTAAGCTTTCCGACTTGTTTACATTTTATGCATATATATAATTTATATATTGCGCGCCTGCCTGTTTTGTCGTCGGAGCTTTTTAGGGCCTGGCATAATATAGCATTAGGGTTATTAAATGTGCATTTTCTCTGCTTTGCAATATATGATGATGATTTATGCCCGAATTGTGTACAATTGCAAAAAAATTGAAACCTCTTAAAAATATGTTTTCATTTTTTTCTATTTCAGGTACAAGCCTTTGCATCAAATAGGTCAGCTTAGACCAAATATAACCAAAAGTTGAACTATGTCCACCGAGGTAAGCAGAAGATTTTTTTTGATATACAATAAATATAACATGCCTCTTTGAAACTCCCATAGCGTTACGTGCGTTGCTACAAGTAAATATTTTATAGGTTATTTAGCTTGTATTTCGATATATGCACGAGTTTTGAGCGCAATATCATACCGCGGAAGAACGAGTGCATATATCGAAATTCAAGCTAAATAACCTTTTTATTATTTAAGAAATGAATTGATTTTTTCGGAGTTTATGCGAAATGAACAACAAAATGTGATCGGCAAATACATGAATCGCGCTAGCGATTCTTGGTTAGTTTGCCGATCACATTTTGTTGTTCATTTCGCATAAATTCAGAAAAAAATAATTTCATTTCTTATATTTACATTAAATTACTGTCCGTTTCATTAAAATAAATTATTTGAAAAATAACCCAGTTTGTTAAAATTAAAACATTTGAATGCGCTTTCCGACTAAAAAGATCAACAGACAGAACAGCGTCGACGTCATAAATGGAACGTTCTCCCTGACTATACGCGGACGTCGTCAAAACATCACTAAGCAGGAATGACGTTATTTTGGCGCCTTTACAGTTTGAAGTTTATACGAAATGAACGTCAAAATTTTCAATAGAAAAGTATAGGGTGAATGTAAATATATGTCTGTATACTTAGACTTTAAGTAAGACAAAATTTGAAAGAAAATATCGTTTATTGATAAAAATTATTATATGCCTCTTTGAAATTCCCATAGCGTTACGGGCGTTGTTGCTACGGGTCAATATTTTTCCATATTGCACGTCTCTAAGTTAATATCGGATGTGGAACATTTGCTTTACGGTTGTAATGGAAAACACGTTCAACGTCGTCAAAACAAGATGACGTCACGTCGGCGCCAAATATAAATGCGCTTCAAAAAATGAAGAATATTTAGATTTGCAGTGTTTATTTGTGCGAAAAAATATCAATAAACGATATTTTCTTTCAAGTTGTGTCGAACTTAAAGTCTAAGTATAAAGGCATATAATAAAAAGGTTATTTAGCTTGTATTGCGATATATGCACTCGTTCTTCCGAGGTATGATATTGCGCTCCGCTCAGAACTCGTGCATATATCGCAATACAAGCTTATTGACCCGTAGCAACGTCCGTAACGCTATGGGAATTTCAAAGAGGCATGTAATAATTAAGAAATAGTACACACCACCGAGGGCCTCCTGGCATTATAGTGACCGACCAGTCAGCCCAAAACATTGATCGGACCGAAGGCTGAGGTCCGATCAATGTTTGGGCTGACTGGTCGGTCACTATTATGCCAGGAGGGTCGAGGTGGTGTGTACTATTTCTTATATATTATACCGCACATTTTTGTTGATCTTAAATCCCTAAATATGGAGAAAAAAGATTATATATTCAGTAGTAACAATTTAATATCATCAGGAAATAAAAATAAATGATTTTTTTTGTTTTTGGTGGTGGGCGTTAAAATTCCGTGCTGTGAAAATCGCATAAGGCTACAAACAACTAATTCTCAGCGGGCCTTATACAAAATAGTGACCGGTCACTATTTTTTATAGTGGACCGCTAGGAGACTTTGAAAACCATCGGATTTTAAGGCCCGCATTAGTTTATATATGTAAAGAAGAAACAAATTTATGTAAGGTATAATATTTTTCAATATCGTAACGTCTACACGCAATCTCTAATGCAGAATTGTCGTTCTTCTACTTGCGGTTCAGAAACTTGAAAGTGAGGTAAGGAACAACAATTCTGTGTAGAGATTGGTCTCCAAGTTCATATCGGACGTGAATGTTTGTTTTACGGTTGTAATGGAAAACACGTTCAACGTTGTCAAAACAAGATGTCACGTCGGCGCCAAATATAAATGCGCTGAAAAAAATGAAGAATATTTAGCGTTTATTTATGCGTATTATAATAAATGAACGTCGTTTTCTTTTCAAAATTTTGTCTTATTAAAAGCCTTAGTATACAGGCATACACTAAAAAGCGTTACTTAGCTTGGATTTCAATATATACACTAAAGGAGGAGCGCAATATCACCGATCAGAACTCGTGCATATATCGCAATACAAGCTAAATAACCTATAGTTATTGACTCGGGCTAATACCTCGGCACAAAGGATTTTTGGTGCATATCGCATCATGTATAACTTCTGAAAAGTGCCGCCTCGGTGAATAATTATTTTCTGGTGCATATAAACATAATGTAAAACAGCTTAAAAGTACGGAATCCGGTTAGTGCCATTTTAATTGTCATGCGTCGCCTTCCGAGGTTGACGCATGCCATTCTTCACGACGATAGATTCGACGCATGACAATTACCACGACGATATATACGACGGATGACAGTTCAAAACTGAAAAAACGGTACATTTTTTTATAAGTCCCTGACCACGCCATTTATTTGTATCTATCGTCTCGGCTTACTGCCATATGTCGTATCTATTTTGAAAGGTGACATCTGACACTTAACACGACGATAGATACAACACATGACAATCGCGCGACAATTAAATCAAATGTCTTGCAAATGTCCACCGTCGTGGCTTGATTTCCAACGGCGACATATGGCATTTAATACCACGCATCACATTTAAACTTGTTATGCATCGTTGTTGAAGCTGAAGCCACGACGGAAGACAATTGCGCGATATTAAATTTTAATTGTTGTGCGTCGACCGGTGTTATAATGTATCATTGACCGATGTTTTTCCTTAGACGGGAAATACTGGAACCCATAGATATATAAACCACAAATATTTACTTTGGCTATCTGTTACAGTTTTTTTCTGTGTCAACATGCACAAATAATTGTTATAATAATATAGTATCACATTGTATTGTTGATTTCTTCCTTTTATTATGGTTTATTACGGAATCCTGTTTGTGCAATTTAAAAATGTCGCCATCACCCATCGAATGCGATATCGCGACAATGCGATACGACATCGCGACAACGCAATACAACATCGCGGCAACGCGATACGACGATCGACAATGCGATACTCATCACGATATTTTGCTCATATCGCATTGTCGCGCGTCGCCTTTGTTGGGCGACGGGCGATATTTTACATGGCACACACAGGATTCCGTAGAAATGTCATATATCGCGGTTGAAAACCAAGCCACGACAGTAGATATTTGCAGGACATCTAATTTAATTTTCGCGCTATTTTCATGTGTCGGATCTATCATCGTGTTAAGTGTCATGCGTCGACATCGAAAGTCGACGCTTGACAATTAAAATGGCACTGACCGGATTCCGTATAACAGTCTTTAATTGTATGATATATGTATAACATCAATATTTTTATCATCAACTTTGTTTTCTTTCAGAGGAAAAAACAGCCTGCTTTGGGCCGATTATCCCAGCAAAAGTATGATATCATCAAATCCAAGTTGGATGGAGGTTTCAAGGTTCCGGACAAACAACAAACAAAGGAGCAAAAACAAGCTCTTAATCTGCTAAGAAAGAGAAAAGACTTTTCAATTGATACAGAAGGACGATTACGCTGTCACGAAAAAATTATAATACCAGCGGAAAAGTTAACCTCGGAAGTTAAACGCCTATATGAAAAGAGTCATGGTTGTGGTCCTCGAACATTATATAACAAAATGAAAGAGACACATACTGGGTTTTCCGTTCGTAACATTGTAACAATTTTAGAGAAAAGCGAATTATTTCATCGACAACACCCAAGATTCAGAAACAAACCAATCCCAAAGACTGTTTGGTCGAGTAGACCTGGAAAACGCTGGCAAATTGATGTCGTTAGTATGGCAAACACGTCAGTAGAATATAAGGGTGATAAATACGTATATATACTTCAAATAGTGGATGTCTTTTCACGGTATATGATGCCTCAACCTCTACAAAGTAAACAGTCGTCGAAATTGCAAAAGTCCTTTAAAAACCGTCATACTAGAGCACGGTGCGCCGAATGAAATTCAATGTGACAATGGGAAGGAATTTCAGGGCAAACAAATGAGAAGCTTAATGCAAGAATTTAATATTAGAATGATTCATGGGCGTCCGTACTACCCCCAGTCGCAGGGCAAATGCGAACGCTCAAATAGACTTCTGAGACGTAGAATCGAGTTTGCGTGCACCAAAAATCAAGGATTTAACTGGGTTGAAGGTCTATCAAACATTGCTCATGAGATAAACACAAGTGTGAAAAGGATTCTTGGAAATGTTACCCCTTTTGAGGCTTACCACGGGCGTACGCATGCAGGTCGACCGACAAACATTCGTAAAATTCGAAGAAAAATGAAACATGTTCTAAAAAAGGAACAAGCCTACTTGAAAAAGAAGTCCGGACAACCCAAGAACTACCGGAAAGGCGAGAGAGTTTTAATTCGATATCCATTCACTAAATCGAGAGTACCATATAAACGGCATGTGTTGCAGGGCATAGTTATGAAAAGAAACAGGAATGGCACACGCTATTACATAATGTACAAGCGCCCAATGCTCCGTGATTTCAAGCAAGCATGGGTAGGAATCGAAAACATAACAAGTGTAACAATTGAAAAGGAAAAACAGAAAAAACATTATCATAGAAGTGAAAAATCTCCCCAAGTGCCAAAAAGTCAGCACAAAGAAAAATACTATCAACCACTTTCCCATGAGGATAATCTGAGTCAAATGAGTACTTCGAACCTTGATGTGTCGATTTTGCATGACCCCAAGCCCGATGGTAATTGCCAATTTAACGCAATTTCTCATCAGTTGAGTTTGATAGGTATACATAGATCAGGAAATGTTCTTCGTGAAGAAGCTACAGCCCACTTAAGAAGAAACAGAAACTTTTACGAAAACTTTGTTTATGGACAAACGTACAATGATTACCTTGAAGGTATGACACGTGACGGTACCTATGGAGACAATCTAACGCTTGTCGCTTTAATGCGAGAATTTAATCTACAATGTTTCGTGGCATCGGCAAGAGGACCAGAGTTTTCATCTTTAATCTCTAATGATGGCAAGTACGACTGTGTGTTGCCACTATTAACATTATTACATTTCCCTGAAAATGCAGGCATGCATTATGTAAGCATATCGATACCCAGAGAAGAAGTCACTAAATTAATTTCTCAGACAAGTTCAGGTACTGAGTCAGATGAGAATGGAACCGCAGAGCCCCAAAGTGTAGATGATGAGGATCTTCCCCAAAACAACGTGGAAAGTGATGTCGAGAAAAACAAAGCGGAAACTAATGAAAGGGACACTGGTGTCCATTTCGGAGAAGAGTCTAGAAAGAATACAAATACCAGGAAGAAGGGAAGAAAAGCTACAAATGTTAAGTCAAAATATAGAAAGACTAAGAAAACTTCAGACGCAAATTCCAATGATTTGTCTGAAAATGTTAAGGTTTTGAAAAACCAGATTTTCAGTCAAAGGCAAGAAATGCGTAAGAGACGACAAAATTTTCCATTTTTTCATTTACCTTTACACATACAGGCAAAAATAATCAGCATGTGTTTATTTGGCGATCCCTCGTTTAGATATGTTCTTGAGCATGCCGGCAGCCGTTTTCGTAGACTATTTCAAGACATTGGCTTAGAAAAACCACAACTACACATAGGACCTTCGGTATTGGAGAGCGTACCTAATGTAGTAAGTGTTCGTCTGCTCTCTCGAAAAGCTGGTCGAGGAAGCGGACTTTTAATGGAAATCCGACGAATAATAAATAACAAAAGATGGTTCAATGCGTGGTTGCGATTAAAAATATCTGGAATAGGTTGGTATGAAATCGTCGACATATTTTACCGTTAAAGCAACAACTTACAAAGACCTCGCCAAATAAACACTTGTCTTGATTAAGAATGATGGCTTATTGAAAGAAACTTTATTGAGATACACGGACATATTTTTTTGTTTTTCTATAGTTATCTAGAACATATAATTGTGTCGTGCCACGCAAAAACCAAACTTTGTTGACTTTCGCTGGACATGACTCAATAATGATTTACTTTTGAAATATTGCTGAAGTAAAATAAATGCCAGTTTTATTTTGTTTTATTTTCTTAATAAATGTTAGAATTAGATCCTCACAAAAATGGCCGATTTAAAATATTACGCACTTTTCACAAATTAGTAAAAACATGACTATAACCGAAGATAAATTGAAGCTCATGTATGCAAAGGTGGAAAATCGAACTTTATTAATTTTGATGTTCAAACATGTTAAAATAAATTTCGGAAATAGATGCAGTACGCAATTTTGAGACACTTTAATGTATGGAATAATGACGGGGAGTTGTGTCGTGAAGTCCATAAAGAAGGGATAAAAAAGTTGGCCGCTTTCTATTGAAAAAAATCTATTAATGATATTCAGTCTTTTCATATACTGCACCTTGGTTTTAATGTGTTGGTTGATCACGCGGGAAGCTAGAACTACTAGTAAGCCAAGACAGAAAAAACCTATATAAGGAGCGAGTGAAGCTGTTTTAGTATTCATTCTATTTTTACGATGTTCCGTTTCAAACAAAAAGTATTTTAGTTCGACTTTTCCAAGAAAAGGAGAGCTTACCTACTCATTGTCGTTAATATAAGCTAAACGGAATGTTCAGATTTATTTTCGTTTCACTTGTTCTCTCCACAACTGAAGCTGTTCACTTAAAACTTCACATATGTGTATGAGGTGAACGTGAAAGGTCACATCCCAAGTTCCATAACTCTGTCATGTATTTTGACTGAATAGTGTCTCTTTTTCGACTTAGAAAGTCAGTGTTTAGTTTTTGCGTGTAACTTTTATCTCTACAACAACAGAAGATATTGACTTGAAGTCACACACCAAGATTCATAATCTTCCATTTTGACTGAATTATTTCCCTTGTTCTGCGTTTAGTTTTTCTTGTAACTAGTACAACCACAAAAGATATTAACACATGTGTTCGGGATGAAAATGTTAGCTAACATACCAATACCCATAACATTACCCAATTTTTCCAATTATTAACCTCTGTGTTGAGTTTTTTCTGTAACTAGTATCTAAAGATATTCACATGAAACTCGGTATTATGTGTCTCGTATTTGGATGTTATAACACGAAAAAACATGCGTTATCCCTATATTGAAAATGAAAAGCAAAACATAAATTAGCAATAAAAAGGTTATAGAACAGGTCTGGTGTGCCTAAATGCGATTTATCACATGTTTGACGTCGCGGGAGTGTAATAAAAAGCCATTACATATTTTCCATATTACTTAGAGGTTATTATACAGGGCAAGTGTGCCTGAAGGAAGATATCGGCACACTTGGTTAGGTATTGGCCCGAGGGCTTTAGCCCGAGGGCCAATGCGGACCAAGTGTGCCGATATCTTCCTTCAGGCACACTTGCCCTGTATCATAACCTTTTTATTGCATATGTAGACACTCAATTATGTTATTCTTCTAAACAAAGTTTAATGTTTTATCTCCATACTGTTTTCTAACAAATCGTGTCTATTTTCTTCACATTTTCCGTTCGCCACAAACATTTGTATTTTAAATATCTGCTCATTAAATTTCTATAAAATCATATAAAAATGTGCAGAAATTTAATCTTTATCTATCCTGTTGCGTGTTATGCTGATAAGTTAACTATAAGTTATATCTTGAGCGCTCCAACGTCAAAACTTGTTTACGTCAACCGGACGTGACGTCATGATATGGATTTTTGGCACACTAGCAAGTGTGCCGATATCTGGCACACTTGCTCAATGCATGCTTATATCGGCACTCTTTGGGCAATATCAGCACACTTCCTTAGCATTTTTGTTACTATTTATAGTAACAAATGCAATAAACTAGTATAATATCGTTTTGACGTCGACGTCATTTAACGTTAGCGGACGTCGCTTGATTTTACCGCGTTTATAAGGCAAAATAACAACAATTTTTCGGTTTATCGGCTCCAAAATTTAACCTGTGATATGAATAAAATAATAAAATGCTCGGCAGAGCCTCGCAATTTATTATTTTATCCAACTCGTTTAATAAATTCAATATGAAAAGACACTCATGTAATATCCTCTATATTGGCCTACGAGACCGCTAAAGCCCTCGGGCCAATACCTCTTCTTGGCCAATATTGCATTCAGACACACTAGACCTGTGTAATAACCTATAAATACGCAACGGCAAACGCTATAAATAGAAAAAAAATGTGAATTTAAACGTATATGAGTTTTGTCCATGTAATATGACTGTGGTCAGGTGACGTGATGCGCCAAATATCGATATCGGTCCGACTTCCGGTTGGGCCGATATCGATTTCCCACTTCGGGTTGCTAAAAAAACGCGGAAAGATTGACAATTTTATAAGAAAAAATACGTTTAACTGAAATATATCTTGATAAAAAAGCAAAATTGAAGAAAACACTTGAAAAACAATCTCCAAACAGTTAAATAACGCCAAAAATATATTAAAAACAAATGTTTGTGAGGAAATGACGTCAACGTCATTAGACGACGTCAAAAGTCCCTCGCTTTTTAAAATAAATTATACATTGTCGCTGAACAATGTTTTCAAACGATTTTTTTAATTCTATAATGAAAACCAAAACATAAATGAGCACATGCAATAAAAAAGGTTATAGAACAGGTCTGGTGTGCCTTAATGCGATATGGTCTACAAGATCGGTATTAGCCTCGGGCTCTTTTAGTGGGCCAAAATCGAATAAAGGCACATCAGACCTCTGTAATAACCTATAAATATATCCCGCCTCTAAACCAATGAAAATTCGTGAACTTTATTAGCAGTATTATAATTGCGGCTAGTATTGTGCAATGTGAGTTTGCTTTTAGTCTTCTTGGAATCCATGTTGTTATTCATTACTTTATATTCTAGCATAAAACTGCCGTTATAACCATGATTTCGGGGTGTTTTAACAGGACCAAAAAGGTCTTTTAACAAGGAGATTCTAGCGCTCATGCGCTGTTAAAACACCTTTTTGA